CGGATTGAAACATCTAGGACCCCAATGTGGGGCGCGTAATAACACGTTTCGTTGGAAAAAAATCGTGCCGGTATTCGAACTTCCGATCATGAATTAAATCAAGCCTACGCACAAATTTCCCCACGAAACACTTATTTATGGAGTTTCATAAAGTTATGGTTATGTAAAATTTTACAATATGAATTTGTCTGTTCCCAATGGAACGAAAATAGTGGTAGTCCTTGGCTAATGCCGTTTGGACTCCAGAAATTTCGTCTTCGAGCTCATTTTCAAATTGCCTAAGTCACCAAATCCACTAAAAACTTGTATATAGGGGTAATTCAACATCCTGATTACGAGTATGACACTCATTCTTGGCGCTGGCGCCAAGAGAGGACACTACGATTACCTCCTGGGCTCAGCCTTAGCAGAGCGCATCATCCATTAGCGCCAGCGCCAAAAATGAATGTCATATTCGTGATCAGGATGTTGAATTACCCCTATATACAAGTTTTTAGCGGATTTGGTGATCTTGCCACTTTTAAAATGAGCTCGGAGCCGAAATTTCTGGAGTCCAAACGGCAGTCCTTCGCGTTGATGCTACATAACATACCCCTAGCTGATGTCCTAGAAATAAGGAGGGTGTGATTGCCCACTCCATTCGACAAGCAGAGCGTTTTTCGCGAAACATATCTATTTGGGATAACTACCATGTCAGCCCGTCGTACTGGATAAAGAGGATAAATGCATGGTCACAATAAGGCGAGCAACCGAGGAGGGGTAGGGGGGCAGGGGAGGGGAGAGAGGGAGACACAGTTGTAAGCGCTTGTCAAGATACCAAATCCTGCAGTCTGTACTAAATACCGAACAACCTTGTCAACACATTATGAGCCTCAGTACCACCTACCCAGTACACTATGAACTCCGGTCAAATTGGTCCTAATGGTAAGGGTATGTGACAAGAGGATCGTAATTTGCCGCGCTGCTGGCGTCGCGTGCGACGTCCCCCGCAAAGGACGATGGTTTCAGGCAGTAGATGGCGACAACATGCAATTAACCGAAAACAGTAATGAGTGTCTACGATGACGGGGTCTACATGAAGTCCGGTGCTCCATTCGACAGGTTAAAACGAGTTATGAAAACGCCGCGCCCATCGCCGCGCGTGGCGGTGCGGCAAATTACGATCCTCTTTACCGTCTCCCTAATGGTGATAGTGTACCTTTTAAATCGAGGCGTGGCTTTCCAGCAAGATAATGCCATTTCGTCAAATTTGGCAAGAATTTACAGGGAACTTCGCAAAGGTTTACAGCACGTGCAGGATGAGACATAACTGTCTAGTATTTACATATACATAGTTAACGCGACTAAACGAAGCTTGTACGCTGAGATGATGTGCTTAGGCTTCAGACTTGACGGGACGGGGTGGGAGTAGGCAAAGGGTGGATCGAGATTTTACAAGTGCAAATACTACAATTAACCCAGTGACTTAAATTGGAAATATTCATTCACTTATCTTAATACACGTTTACTCGAAAGACACAGGAGTTTTAACAGGAAGAAGCAAACGCTCCGGAAAAACGCGTTCCCAGTTAGACTAACTCAGCGACTGAAGCAGTCCTGCAATCATTCGAGTGAGCTATGCCGTTACCATTGGTGAACTGTACAGTGAGCCACTTCGTGCTCCTTTCATGAATCACCGAGAGTCGTTAAAAGGACCAGAGCTGTCTTGTCAATAATGGTATATGTATTTTTTTCTGTCTCGGTTCGTTTTTCATGAGTGATCTTCGGAGCGCTATGGAAGACCAATCTGCTTTGATTCAACCGGAATTGCAATGGGATTAACGATTTCCACCCAATCAGGGAAGTAATTACCCTCCGTAAAATTATGGCCAGCAACCGTTTGTAGGAAGCTATGAGAATTGGATAGGACACTATATGAGTATGATGATGAGTAGTTTGATTGTTCTACAACCGAATGATTAGTTGAGGAGACGTTCCACAATTTGAGCGCAAATCTAAAATGTGGTCCTCGATTGACAGCGAGAGCGAGCTGATCTGATAATGACTTTTATCTGAATGTGTAATAACAATGTGAAACTCCAAAATTTTATTCCAAAAAACTCAAAAGACAGCAAAAGTCTCAAAAGTTTTTTAAAATATCTTATCTTGCGATATTTCGGTGCGTAGCACCTTCCAGGCCTGAAATTATTTAGCTTGTTTTCAGCTGGATATGTACCTACAGAAATGCTGGATATGTATCTACAGAAACACAACCCGCACGGACTCCTCCCCTCCCAAACCACTTACCCAAATATCCCGGCAAATTAGCCAACCCACCCTAACCACACCCTTAAATAGTGGGATGTGACGCGATCACATTATGACTTGCATAATGTCACGTAGTTCCTCCCTATTGTTTATTTGGGGTAGTAGCCGTTTTATTTCCAAGGCCTCCAATATTTTCCTTTCCATTGCGCTCTCTACCGAGCGTAGTACTTTGACAATTAAAGAGGGGGCTTCTTGGTGAGCGTGCTCCTTTATGCGATGCCGGGAGAAACTGCTATTAGGGTAAGAAGGTGGATTTCCCAGCGCCCTCCGGTGTTCGTCGATCCGTTTGTATAGGGGCCTCCCAGTTTCTCCCACATATTTTTGCCCGCATCCTTGACATTCCACCAGAACTGTCCCCCTGACAAGGGAGGTCGTTCAGGGCGTGGTGAGCTTTTTCAAAATGGTCTTGTGCATATTGTAGGGGCACATACGAGGACCAGAAAACTGAGGCGTAAAAAATAGGTCGATGGTTCGGATCCCACCGAGGACAAAATTTTGCTTTTCTACAATTTTTCATTTTTTGGATCCATGTTTGTCTAAATAATTGGTCCTAACAAAAACATTCACGATAAACTGAACAATCCTACTTTTATGGAGCAAAACTGCTTTTTCGTTCGAATTCGTTAGTATGCACAGACTCAGCTCTTCGGCACTATGCCGGTGCCAGATGGCACTGGAACCGAAAATAAAGTCTAGAATCGTGATCAGGACTGTCGATTACCCCTAGGAGCAAGTTTTGAGCGAAAAATTTTTTTGACTTTTTCGGGTTGTAGGTGGCCGACCATTTGGTCGGCAGTGTGAGCGGAGTCTCACATCTTCGTAACAGCGATGACGTATCGTTGACGCTACGGACCCCGGACAACCCAATAAGCAAACCCAAGAAGGTCAAAACAATTGTTTTGACTGAAAATTCGTTTTTAGTGGTAATCAGTGGCCCTGATCACAAATATAACACCTATTCTTGGCGTCCACGCAATTTGGCGACAGAATAGCGCTGAACGTTCCCTATATTGGTGTACATAACGAATTCAGTGGAAAGAAGATGTGGCCCCAAATTGTCTATAATTGACACCACACCAGAAGTTACTAAATTCGCAATCAGATCCACTGTATAGCCTATGAGGAACAACGTCCAGCAACAATCTTGTTCAATGATGCGTGAAAATTGGAATAGTTGGGTAGCACTGACTCATGAGGTACAGCTACTCAGAATGTGCCCATAAATGGCAAATATCCGAGTTATATTCATGCGCAGACACTAATGGAAGCGAGAACAGCGAAATCTGAAAAATGCAAAAAGCCGCAACGCAAGGGGAGCCGAACCATCAACCCCTCCGTCACTGTCCGATTGCGAAACCTCCACTCTATCCGCTAGGCCATCCGATGCTCGACTTAGCTGGCGCTCTAATCGTTGATGAAACCATTGCAAGAAGCCGTTCACCCTTGAGCACGTGACCCAAGTTGGAAGCTCACTTGCGGCGATTTTTCGCTTCGATTCAAATAGCCCCTTTATAAGGACCCCCCACTCAGCAACTGGTCAAAGTTGCAAGTGACCTACGCCGTATAGAGGCCCAGAGCGAAGCAGATTCCAAAGATTTCTTTTCACTCGTTTTTTACCTTTCCTGGAAGCGCGCAGCGAAAATGAAGCACACTTTTCAGGCCCTTGCATGAGCCCCTACAATATGCAAAAAACCGTTTTCGAAAAGCGCACCACGCCCTGAACGACCTCCCTTGTGAGTGACCCTTGAGATCACTACCCTCCCCCCTCCCCAGCGGCCAAGTACGACCATCCCCTATGGGTTTTGCACAACGATGCTGTACCCTTTGTACAGGAATGGTACGCACTTTGAGAGGGTCCGTACGTTGCCAGAGCATGGTGATCAGAAGGTTCTCCGAATAGGATATCCATTCATACAACCTCTTCAATTGAATATCTCTAGCAAACTCCTTTTTTCCCCAAAAAAATCCATCAATTGGAGTAGGGGACAATAGATACGTCTTGGCAACACCGAAACCCCATCAGAGAAGTGGGGATGGTTTGGGAGCAGGGACATCAAACGGGGAGATTTCCTGACTTCCAAATATCATGTTCCCTCAAGTCACAGACCCAAGTCAGGCAATGAGCCAGACCCGTTCACATGGAACCCTCCTTCAGATCAGAAAGGAACTTTACTCTTTATTAGCAGTGACGCACGCTTGAATCCGATTTTACCATACCTAAACCATATCCTCTAGGATAGGGAGCGTGCGAGGCATACTATCCTTGGGGTTGTAAGGTGAAAAGGTGTGTGCAAAATGACGGACTCTTGAGAAAAAAAAACAGAAAAAAAACCGTCGAAATCGCTCTAATTGTAAGTGAAGTCCAGTTGTTGGAGTAACTTGAGCAACCTTGTGCTTTGATGCACCTACAACTTACTATATCTTCACGCGAAAATGGTACTACATATTGGTTGTTCACGATACCTCACCGTACGCGCAACTTCGGTTAATCGACTAATAATAATGTGATAATCCATCGCGAAACGTGTCTTCAGGAGGAACTTGTTAGTTGGTAATACGTGTCTAAACCTGTTCCTATATGTATGTGGTCGTGTGCTCTTTGCATAACACTAGTCTGTAATGTACTCTTAAGGATGGTGGATCTGCCTTGATGCGGCCTCGTTAGTGTCCACGTCACATTTATCCCTCACAGACGTGCGACCACATTTCGTTGCGATATCCTTCTACAAAATGTTTGGCTATCCGACTGGTATTGGTGGTCTCCTCATACGAAGAGTTACGTGACGCGGAGTCAAGAGCGGGGAACGCTCAACATTCAGTCACATTCAACCCAACGAATCTTCGAAAAAAAGAGTGTTTTAGACGCCATAAAGCGACTGCAATCTCGAGCTTTTGCTGGCGGGACAGTAAAGCAAATTCTTGTGGACGAGTTCTATTCCGTTCTTCGAGAGAGCATTGAGGAAAGGTTGATAATGTGTTAACATATTTAGAACATGAAGTGTGCCCTGCTTCTTCCGACTTTGATATTCACTTACAGGTTAGAACATGGAACGCTTAATTATTATGCCATTTGTGCTCTAAGCAAAGGTTTCGACGACTTGAAGAGATACGGTGCGCAACAGTGTTCACTATTTTTTTCTCTTCAGTTCTTTATTTTTTCAAACGACATGTAATTTCTTGCCCATAATGTCTTCGTTATTCTGCGGAAGCGCTAAATTCGCAAGGATCCCTCACAACTGTGATTTGGAGCGGGAGGGAGGAGGAGAGGGAGGCGATATTGCTTGACTGAACTGTATGCAGATGAGTACAAAATATAATATAGATGGTTCCCTGAGCTTCATTATATTAAGACTTGTTCATGTGTATGGGAGTGAGAGGCTTTTTTTTCCAAAATTTATTGACTACGTTTCGGGCCTAAGCCCTTCTTCAGGTCACTGAATTATACAAAGATTTGTGTAATCCAGTGACCTGAAGAAGGGCGTAGGCCGAAACATGGTCAATAAATTCTAGAAGAAAAGAAGAGCTTCTTGCTCCCATACACATGAACGAGTACAACATACATATGTTCTGAGCGAATAAGAAGAAAAGTGTTCCTTGGCTCCGAAGGGAAAGCACTGCTTTGGAGGCGGAGCGGAGAGGCGGAGCGGAAGTTCATAAGTAGTCAGGACACGTCGCAAAAATGCAAAGTACGAAACCCTCTAAAATGCCCTCCCCGGTGCGGCTCCTCTTTCCCTTCCCCATCCCCCAGTCTGCCCACCATTTTATCTCCCAACTCTTCTACTTTTCCACTGCCTTTCCGAGCTTTCCTCCACTTACTCCCCAAGTATGTAGGTAGCATTGAGCGGAGGGGGGAGGGGGGGAGGGGGTATGGCACACCTTAAACGAGAAAACCAACATTTTCCTTGAAAGTACCTTGAGTATTCCTTCTCGCTGGGGATTCCCAACGTCCACGTGCCTCGGAGTGTGTTGGGCCAGACTGACAGCCCACTGACAAGGCGTTGAGCGGCCGCCATGGGGGGGGGGTGTTCAAGTACCCTTCCACCCATGACGCTAAATTTTGTGCTCTACCCTGTAGCAATCGTCCACACTGCCTCTGAACTTTTCATTGAATGAGTTCTATGAGAGAAACTTCTTTTCTACAAATCTTAGAAGTTTCGGATTAAGATGAACAGCTAGATTTTAATCAGTAACACAATCACAGGAGGCATGCAGAAAATCTCGGCGAGCACTATGAAAATAGCGAATGAAGCCTTCGAAATGCTCTCCGGAAGAGTACACTGGAATGGGAAACCAGCGGTGAAAATCTACGGCTGGGAAAATGCCAGAATGCAGGGGCCGATCGTCACATTCAATCTACTGCGTGATGATGGGAGCTTCACAGGTTACTCTGAGGTGAGTGAACTGGTAATACCGGTGGTGTACCGAGTGGTATAGGATGATTCTTCACAAAATAGTAAAAGTTGTTCAAAATATACATGCACTTCAACTTATTGGAATGCGCTTCTAATAATTCACGTGACTGGAACCCCTCAGATTTCTCAATGCGGATTTTGAATGGCTATATCACTTTTGGTCAAAGCATGAATCAATTTAGTTGACTTACTACTTTCGCTCAGCCCCTCTTCCCCCCCCCCCCTGCGCCCAACCAACACTCCCTCCTATTCGCCAACTTTGCCTCCCTTCCATAGTTGCGAAACGTGCAAGGTTCATAAGTAGTCAGGACACGTCGCAAAAATGCAAAGTACGAAACCCGAAACGAAATTTGTTGAACCATTGCCGCACAGTGCTTTCTCTAGCACTATTGGGCCCCCACACCTGGTTAATTTGTTGAGCTGTTTCGATTGCGGATTGCCCCAATTTATAGTCGAAGAAAAAATCGTCCGAAGTGCTCTTTTCACATGCTTGAAAAAATCTTAAAAAAGGGGTTCATCAAGCAATGGTGAAACGGCAGTTATACCATCAGATAGCGCAAAGAATTTCTTCAGGATGTACTACTGAGACGCAAGGGAGAATGAGTTTCTAATCAGCAATGAATGTGCAAAAAGTAGTAACACAAAACCTGCAGAACTTTCCGGACAACCTAATATCAGGGTCATGAGAATTATGTCACAGTTTGGTCGTTCTGAGACTTATTTTTGTGAAGCATCGTAGCGGCTCTGTCTATTATGTGATTGATTTGCTGACTTTTGGGTGCTCCGAACTACTTACTACATTACCTAATTAGCTGCGTATTTCAGTCCGTAAAATGGCTGCTTTCGCACGGTCTGGAGATCTTCCGAACGGAGCGTTGTAATTCAGGAGCTTGCCAGACTGTATCTAAATCACACGAATGAACTCAAGACGGCCATTACTTTGAGGTGGACATTTTTAAGACGTGGCGTCTGACATCGGTTTTCTTTATGTGAAAAAGCTCATGAAGGTCACCTTTTATACTATAGGGAGGCAAAGAATGTGGAGATTGCGTTGGATTGTGATTTATGGTAAACCAACAGGAGCTGTTCGGGTGTCGTTTGGAAGGCAGTCTACATCTGAGGTTTGCACGTACACGTACATGAGCTTAGAGCTCTTTTATACTATGCTACGGCACTCATCATAAACGGTCCTAGGATGTTCATTCCCTGGAGCAAATGATCGACTACTGTTTTCTTGACGTCCACTTACCAGTCCATATCGACTATCACCTGAACATTACCAACTACACTGCTATCGTTCACATCTTATTATTTACCCGCACGCTAAAAGCGTGTGCGGGAATAGCTATGACAAGTAAGTTTTTCATATTCTTGCATTTACAAAGTACCGCGGGATGGTTAATTGAATTGTCTGCACACTGAATGAACTGAGCACAAGATTGCGGTTTACATCGAAGATACGGTAAGCAAGACAGTTTGAAAAAGCTGCAATGGTGTACCCTGAAAGGAGGCGGAGGGGGGGGGTATGACCATAGAGGGAGGGTTAGACATTCTCCTTCATCAATCGGACAGACTTTACATTCCATAGTGTTCCTCCAAATCCATGATGTTGTCCGAAACAGTGTGATTCGGGATATCCACATTGCAGAGGCTTGCAGAAGTAGGTTATCGCCACCACTTCTTCAAGCTTACTGACTCGGGTTACTGTAGTATTTTCGCCCAACATAGGTATGTAATAACAGTCGAGGGCCCGGGGCCCGTAGCGTGTGTATATCGTATGTGCTAGGTTTCATCTCATAAATCAAGGTGTTCCGTTCTTTGCCACCTTCTACATATTTCGAGTCTCCACGCAACAGCGCGTAAGCCGCAATAAGATGTCCAGCTATGACGCCTACGTCTTTCCCGTGAGTACAACACGGCTTGCGAACGGGTGCGCCTCCGCCCGCGCTTATTTATCATTCTGCTTAACCACTTATATTATGTTATCATTTATTTTATTATTTATTTTATTTATTTATTTAGTTGATTCGACATTAGGCACATGAAGCAACATGGAACAACTGTAAAACCAACGAAAAGGCTAACTGACAAAGTTGACTTCGCAAAGTTCAGTACTCGTTGTAATAATTAATAAAGAAATTCAATAAAGAGATAAAGCAACGTAAGGTAAAGTAACTCGGAACCTGACCAGCTCCTTAAGTATCAACGTAGTTCAAAAATGAGATAGTCCGTAATAGCGCTCAAGTCAAATGTTGAGGAATCTTTTTTGGCTGAGCTAACTTCCCAGGCATACTGTGTTTCTTCGAAAACTTCACGAATTCAGATGAAGCCCGTAAAGCAAAAAACTTGCTCTAATATTAGAATTAGCTCTAGAATAGGAGAGTTTAACTTTGTCACGAGTGTTTGGACGGACAGAGGGTGAGAGTGTTACGCAAATTTACCTCAGACTTCCCTGTAAGTATCTTGAACATTGTTATGAAGTCCTGTTTTCTCCTTCTACTGAGTAAGGAATCGAGCGCAAGCATTTTATTTCTAACGACACCTCTTGGTATAGAACTGTAAATAAAACCCAGTGCCCGAGTCAAAACCTTTCTTGTGAAACTATTTTGCACAGACTCCAGTCTGGAAATGGTCTTCCTCATATGAGGATAGAATACAACAGAACCATACTCTAGTAGCGGACGAATGTAAGTCTTGTAAGCTCTTATAAGAACGTGTGGATCCTTAGTAAGCAAGCTCCTCAGTAAACAGTCTCTTCTCCGCCCTATTGAGCAATCTATATGCAGTGGGAATGGAACTCCAATTCGTGGTCGACGATGAAACCTAGGTCCCTTACTTCCTTAACCTTTTTTAGTTGCGAGCCGTCAATACTGTAACGAAGTTAATCCGGGAGGAACCTAAGTGCAAAACTGAGGTTTTATCATATGCTAGAGGGAGTCCCCATAATCTAGACCAATTGACAACAGCACCAGTGGCGTCCTGTAACAACTTGCAATCACTTACAGCTGTTAGGGATTTTCAAATCATCGGCAAAAACTTTACATGTAACTCCAATTTCTTCCACCACCTTAGGCAGCTCATACGAGTAGATGCAAAACAAAACTGGTGAAAGAACACCACCCTGTGGAACGCCACTAGGCGCAGCGCGTACAGCAGAAAATGTCCTATCTACACGGACTTGGAATGTCCTCTGACTGAGAAATGCCTCAATCCATCGAACAATCCTATCATGGATACCTACATGCTTGAGCTTCATCAAAAGCTTAGAATGATTAACCTTATCAAATGCCTTGCGGAAATCAAAGTAAACTACGTCTACTTCCTTCTTATCATCCAGTGCAATCGTCCAATCATTCATTGCCTCGAGCATTTGGGTCACTGTTGACCTGCCTCTCCTAAAGCCATGCTGAGAGTCCGATAAAATCTTATTCTTTTCCAAATGCTCGATAATGACCCTCTTGACAACTTTCTCAAAAACTCTACAAAAAACGGAAGTAATACTGACCGGCCTATAGTTATTCGAAATAGTGTGCGGAGGCTTCTTTGGAATAGGAGTTATGAAGGAATGTCTCCATCTATTAGGAACCTCTGCTCGGAAGAGACTCAAATTATATATGAACTGAAGTGGACCCACAATTGACGGAAGGACTTTCTTGACAAAACAGAGAGGGATGTCGTCCGGAGTGAGCGAGAAACTACATTTCCACCTTGAAAGAAGTTCAGAGATTTCTTGTACACTGAACCACATGGAGTCGTGCATTTGGGTGAAAGAGTCAGTCCACTCACCACAACCTCTACGTGGCCACTATCTTCTACAAAAACTTGTCCAAACACATCTGCAAAATGCTCTGCTTTATCAGCATCCGACACTGCGATAAGCCCGTCAGGTCCCATCAAAGCAGGTATCCTTTCCTTTGATTTGATTTTCGAATTGATATATTTGTAAAGGGCAATAGCACTACCATTTTCAATGACTTTCTTTTCAATATGGCAGCTGTATTTATACATTTTCTTCTCAAACTTCTCGGTTTCAATCTTATATAATTCCCAATCTTCAAAAGAATCAGATAACATTGCCTTTTTGTACGCCTCGACCTTTTTAAGGTAGAGTGCATTCAAAAATGGCGGAATATGCGCAAGACTTTCCCTGACCCGGCGCACAGGAACGTACTTATCAATGCTTTGTTTCAAAACAAACAGCAGCATCTCATACATCTCGTTCACATTTAGGCCGTTAAAGGAACCATACCAATCAACAGAGTCCAAATAAGCACAGATTGAAGCGTAGTCGGCATTCCTGAAGTCTCGCTTGAGCACATTCTTCCTCAACACGTTGGGCAACCTAACGCCGAATTGAATGCTAGCATGGTCACTAGAACCGATTGGTGGTTCCACCTTAACCCCGGTGACAAATGTTTTCGAATTGCAGAACAGTAGGTCTAAGGTATTGTGCCCTCTGGTTCCACCGTGAACGAACTGGTGGAAACCATTATTCCTCACAAGGTCCAAGAATTTCTGAGAGACTCCCATGCTAGCGTTTTCTGTTTGCGACCAGTCGATGTTAGGGAAGTTAAAGTCCCCGGCTAGAAGACATAGATGTACATCCGCACAAAGGTCACCTATACACTTAATCATCATATCACTGTTATCACTGGAGCAACTGGGTGCTTTGTAGCACAAGATTACTCTGCACTTGTCTCCACCTACATGAAATGTCGACAACAACGAGTTCATACCCATTAGGGACGGCTTCAAGGAAAATCAAAACAGGACATAAGGAACGCTTATCCAACCTCGCATCACACATACACACCACTTTTTTGCGCTTTCTGTCACATCTAAAGTTTTCATAACAGGTGCCTAACTCCCCAAGCAAACATGACAATTCCATGTTGGATTTTAGCCAAGTTTCCGAAAGAGCGACTATACCGTAACTAGTTTTAGAGAGTAAACCTGAGAGAATGAATGTTCTTAGCAAGAGAACGAATATTCGCCACTAGGAATTTAACACGAGACTGAGGGCTAGGATCTGCAAAAGGATGAAGCCTACTTTAAGGCTGAGACGGCCAGATGAAGCTTGGAATTCAACAGCTAAAGCAGGAACAAAAGAACTAGATAAAAGCGTATCAATCTACCAAGTGGCCTCACATGTTTCCCGAGTTGACATCAATAATGTCATCACACTCATTATTTTGCGAAAAATGCCGTTTCGATACCTGATCATGAGATAAAGGAACAGAGTTCAAAGCAGCATTAGATGTTACATTATGTGTACTTCAGAAATATTAACCACAGTGAAGTACTTACTTAAAACACAAAGCCTGTTAATCCTAATGCGTTCACGTTTAGACTTAGGTAGTGAGGGCCTAATAAATATGCCCTTCTCATGTGCCTAAGTTGTGGAGCTCGTTTGAGTAATGAAGAAGGCGAAATAAAGGAGGCTTCGCAAAGACATACCTTATACCATCCAGTGCTATTGGCACCGTCGGCCCTCCTATCCATTCCTATTACACGGCACTAGCGACCACACTCCACCACACCACCCACCTCTCAAGGATCTGCCTCTATGTAAAGAAAATCATGTAAAACGCGATTGGATGCCATAGGAGCAACGCACTCCTTCACGCCGATAACAACTACCGAGCGCTTGCGTTCTGAGTCGTCATCGTCCGAAGGAACATTCACAGCAGAACTAACATTTGACGATCAAAAATGAGGAGCAGCAAGAAAACGTTTAACAATTCAGGGCTTAATTGGGCACGTCGGCCCATCCTATACACGGCACTAGGACGACATTCAATAGAAAGAAAGTCTAGGATCTGCCTTATGCAAGAAAAATCATGTAAAACGCGATTGGATGCCATAGGAGCAACGCACTCCTTCACGCCGATAACAACTACCGAGCGCTTGCGTTCTGAGTCGTCA